CATAAAGGTAGTCAAATGAAAACATTATTCCAGTATTCTTACAGTATCTGCTGGGTGGCGGCACTATTGTACTCTGCAGCAGAAATTTGTCCTTGCATTGCATATCGGGAGGATATTCGCTTTGGGCTTGGAGAGTGACTGATAGATCAATGAAATCAGTGGCATACATAAGGTGATCTCAATGAACTAACAGAGAAATTTTACAGGAAATGAAATGGTTTGTGGGATCAAAAGTAATACCTCTGATGATACATGAGTCCCGAGGCATTACAATACCGGTGTTCGGTCGAACAAAGTTCTTAGGTGAAGTTGTTTTAACCTAAGATGATAACAAGTTGGGAAAATTAAAATCAAACAATCATATAACGGGAGAATAAACATAAACATAACAAGATATTCATGCACATATGCAACAATGACAGAAATGGTACCTTATAAGCCACATGGTTATCTGTGTTGTTCATCACTTGAAGATTACACAAAATCGGCTTGTCTAGCTCACCTGAAAACATGAATCCCATGAACAAAATTAAACTAAAAAACTTGTTTAACAACAAATATACAGAAGAAAAATCTGCATAATAACGTCTAAGAAGGATTTTAGCATTAATGCATTTGGAATAAAGAGGCTCCCAAATGCCGAAATTAAGGTAACTAAACATCGATGAGCTTTGACATATTAAACAAGCTGATAAACTAAAAAAGAGCATTCAAAACTACTTTCTTCTCCCTGAATCTTTTAAAGAATGATAGGTTAACCCTACATTACCTACTATTCATACAAGTTAGAATTCAAAAAACATCAACAATGGTTGCCAATTACAGATCAAGGGACCAGGGACGGACCGAGGGGGGCTGGCCGAGTGGTCCCCTTAAAAATTCCAAATTCTCATACAATTTAGGTATTTTCTTTGCATTTTCTATTGATAATCTATTTTTGCTCCTATAATTTTAAATTCTCCTTCCTAACATAAAATATGTGTCCGTCCCTGCAAAGGACCTTAATGAAGTCAAGAATCTGAACATAACTGAAGCAAAACAATAAAGAAATATATCAATCAAACAAAATAGGATTCATTTCCACAAGAAATTCAACACAACACCAATCCTTTGCACACATATTTTTCCTTCCCCCTAGTTCATCACACAACCATGGAACTGAATCATGAACACCCACAATCATATACAGTTTGAAGCATATGTACATACACGCATACATATAGACATCATGCATGCATGCAATGACGGATGCAGAATTTTATTTCAGGATGTACGAACTTCTAAAAGTTAACGAATTTATAAAATTTTAAGACAAAAGAGATTATTAATAGAATATACATAAAAAATATAAATATATGATGGAGGTGTGGACATAGATAAGATTGGACTTACAAATAAACTTGAGGTCATTGGGTTGAACAGATATCAACTGATTAGCGTCACCGGCAGTCATGACTAGAGCCCCCAGCGCCACTGACACCACTCTTTGAAAAACTTTTCAATCAAAACAACCCACAAACCTTTAAGAAAAATCAAAGCAAACCAAAAGGAAAGGATGATATAAAATCAACAAACAGAACCCAGAAAAGTCTTAAAAACCATTTCTCCAATAGAGTTTCTACTTCAGTTTTTTTTTTTGGGTTCATTGAAGAGATTGAAATGATTTGGTTAATATTAATCACCCGAACTAGTACGAATGAGGAACAAACATGTGGCGGGAAATGCAGCTGGTTCGGTCTTACGAGAAAGGAGTCACCGATGTCGTCGCCACAAAGGTCGGAGGTTTGCCCGAATAAAAGGAAATGGACGGTAGTTCGGAGATTCTCTATGCACCATCTGTTGCTTTGGGGAAAGGCAGAGTGAGAAAGGAAAGAGATAAACGCCGACACATGTCTATTTAACATGGAATGCAACCCGGTTCCAAGTAACAGCCTGGGGAGGGGATCCATTGACGTGGCACTTGTAAAAAAAAAGTAAGTTAGCTATTGTTCCCTTTTATTTTAACAAGATTTTTTATTTTTATCAATCGCATTATTTAATTATTTAATTATATCTAATCAAATTATTAATCGATAACATTTGATGAAGATGTTGACCTAATAATTAATAAATTGATATAATTATATATTTAATCTTCATTATTTATATATTTTATTAATTTATTTTAATAAATTTAATCTCCAATTAAATGATAGTATGTGTCATAATAGAATTAGAGGGTATTTTTGCACACTTTCCTATGTCTTTATGACATTATTTCAAACTTCTTTATTATAAAGGTTGAATTTAACGTCGTATTGAATAATCAATATGTCACTTATTGTTATAATATTGATATTCTTTATTTTAGATCTTTAAATTGAATTTGGATATACGGTTTACGACTGAAGATAGTTTTGCATGACGTTCGGTTTTGATTTGAGATCTTCGGTGATCTTTTAGTAGTTTTATCTCTTATTATGATTTATTTATCGATACAGTCGGCTCTATTCATGTTTATATTATGTTTGAGTTTTTAATATTTTTCTTGTATGATCTATATGATTACACGTGACTAGTTTCTCGTGTTAATGATTATATGAAATGTTTTAATAATATGTTTAGTTTATGTTTAATTGTAGACGTTGATTGTAATTTCAGATGTTTCATCTTTTTTTTTAATAAAACCCAATTTCACCAACAACATGTTGGTCTAGTAGAATGATACACTATATCCCTTAAACAAAGATCATACATTTATGAATGAACTAAATTGAATTGAGAAGGTCGTCATTACCTAAACATGTGGTTATAAAAAATAATAAAACAAAATTTTTGTTACATAAAAAAATTGAAATGAAAAAGCTAATTTTCTTTTATGAATCCCATTATGCAAACGGTAAATCTAAAATATTCCAATGTAAGCACTTTGAAATGAATAATTAACAGAAATAATAATTTGGACTGATTGATAATATTATAAAAGAAAAATGATTAAGTTACATTTAATTAAAATATGGAGATTAAATTCAAATTAAATACAATATAAGAATTAAAATAATTTTTTTTGTAAAAGCTTCATATATATATATATATGCACTTAATCATTTTATTAAATTTGAATTGTTCTCCTTAATAATCTACGGTAGTGAGTCCATAGGCCCATAAGCTTTAACTTTAGTTAGTGTGAAATTTAGGCATTATAGGTGATAATTAGGGATGGACATGGTCCGGCTTGCGTAGGATCGGGTCGGGTAGAATTTCCGACCAACTCAATTCGATTTGAAAATTTTATTACCTTCACCAAAAATTCGACCCAACTCCTAATATGATCCGATTTTTGAGATAAAATCCGATTCTAATCCGATTCGACGTAAAATAATATAGAATTATTTATTTTTATTCAATAAAAAAAGAAATTAATTGAAAAATAATATTATAAGAGAGATATATTTACAATTATCTCTAGATATATAAGATAATATATTATTTTTCGAATGAGGTCGAGTCGGATATTTTTCATCTAAAGCCGAACTGACCCAATTCGAATTCTATTTTTTTTAAAAAATATAACCCATTGAGTCGAGTAACATCAAACTCGACGGATTTGGGTTCCGTACCATCATTAATCATAATCATTGGATATTAATAGGAAAAATGATGTAATTGAGTTAAAATTGATAGTTTTTAATATAATTATGATTGATTGTTGATATAAACTAACATACAATGGACGGAGACGATGATAGGTTGCTAAGATTAACACGAATTGATGGGGGAAAAAAGTTTAAAAATGCATTTAAACAATTAATTGTTCCTCAATAACGACAAAGTACGTCATGGGTATGGCCGTAAATGAGTGTAGTTGAGTTCGAGTATTGTTGAATTCAACTCGAATTGAAAAGTGTAAAATTGAGTTCAATTCAACTAGAAATTCATGAACTTAAAATTGTTAAGCTCCTCGACATCGACTCAAAATTAAAATTGATGCTAAACAAACTTGAATTCAAAAAAAAATCAGACTTAACTCGAATGAAGTTCAAACTCGAACTTAAATCTTAAGTACATAAAAACCTTATATTGTATTTTTTTTAAATAACAACATATAAATACTGATATTTAACAATTTAATTTTAAAAACCTAAAAATTTAATATATTATTTTTTTCAAATTGTTTGCAAACTTTTTGAGTCGAATATACAATAACTCATTTTGGCTCGTTAAGAATTCAAATCAAGTTCGAGTCGAGTCCATTTAATTTAAGAGTTTATAAATTTATAATCAAAGCGATATTAAATAACTCACGATATATCTCGTTTGATTTATGGGGAGGTATATCATTACCGACACTTTCCCACTATGACACCAATATAAAATAAAATAATTCAATGTTAGCTTTAAAATTTTCAATTTCCACGTTGCTTGCTTGTGCTAAGCATAATATTAATACCCCCACTTTCTTCAATAATTGAGGATTCCCTGTCTTAGCTTGGAGAAAATACAGCCTTTAAAGCTTGGTTAGCTTTTAAAGAAAATGTACCTCACTCTCACGTAGGGGTGAATTAACAAAGCCTTCAATGAATTGTTTGTGAATCGTTCGTATAACGTTTATTTATATTCGTTCGATAAGCTAAATAAACAAGTATAAACAAATTTTTTTATATTTATTTAATAAACGAACGAACACGGAAAAAATGGAAATACCTAACGAAAACCCTGCTTCTCCATTACGAGATCGCAGTCATCATCCGCCGCCTGCTTTTGTTTCTCCGGCACCTCCCCCTATTGGCGGTAATATCGTTGGAAATCTTCATGGGATTGAAGTGTTGACTTCACCAACTTTGGAGAGACCATGTTCCCCCTTTCCCGACGAGGATCAACGTGTTTCTAAGAATTTCGTAATAAGGAATTTAACGATGACCGAATGGAAGAAGATCAGAACGTATGGAATTTCAGTCGACGGTGGATAGCACTAATGAGGGATCTCGGCAACAGGAAAACAAACTTATGCCAGTGCAGTCATGGGCCAATCGAAGCAGACAGTTGATGCTGTTTCGCTTCAGGCTATGGATGAGGTGGTGGTTCTGGGTGGTGAATGTATCGTGGATAATAATGGTTGTATCCTGTGATTCAATTTGCTGATCAAGTTCATGATAGAATTGACTATAGTATGCGGTGCTCGGTGATAGTCCGACTCCTGGGACGTGTCGTGGGTTACAAGACGTTGATGAATCGGATTGGTTTAATATGGCAGCTTCAAGGGCAATACCAAGTCATTGATTTAGAGAATGAATATTTCCTGGTGAAGTTTGAGAGAGAACAGGAGTATATCCATGTCTTGATGGAAGGGCCATGGACGATTTACGGAAGCTATCTTACGGTTCAACCATGGAGTCGTACATTTTCCACGTCGGAAAAACATCCATCACATGTAATTGTTTGGGTTAGATTACCGGGTCTTCCTTATAGATACTATTCCAAAGCGATCTTTCGTCGTATTGCGTCGGTTATTGGACAGGTTGTGAAGATCGATTATAGTACAAATTCAGGGGAGAGGTCGTTTTGCTCGTTTGGCAGTGTTAGTGAATCTTAACAAGCCATTAATTCCATGCTTAAAGATTGATGGGTTTTGGCAGAAAATCGAGTATGAAGGATTACAGCAAATATATTTCCAATGTGGAGTATATGGTCACTCGAAAGATATTTGTGGCTCTGTTGAAGCGAATACAAGTAAGGGAGGAGTTGTTAATGGTTCAAGCGCTGAGTTGGAGAAAGAAGTAGGTGGCGAGGAGTATGGTTTTGGACCATGGATGATAGCTGAAACGCGGCAAAGGCGTACAAAGAAATTCATGATCCGAATATGAAAACAAGTAGTGATGTTGCGAGAGGTTCACGATTTGCTATCTTGGGTGAAAAAAATAATGGCGTAACTGAAGATACTGCGAAGGTTCCAGATATAGCAACGATTGAAAGTATTCATGAGAAAATTCCAGCCAACATCTCTCGGATAGATACACGAGCAAAAGGAAAAGGTACAAAAGACAATGGTTTAATGGAGGTCGGTGCAAGTAGTCTGGGATATCTAGGTCGAACGGAAAAGGTTGGGGAAATTCGAACACTACAGCAGATAAATGTGGTAACCATAAAGGATGGGGTGACTCCCCAAGTAACGGAACATCGCAATGTTAAAGTTGCGGGTAACCACTCGGCAGTCACCATTTCGGAGGACAGTCGACCTACTGTCACAAACAAAAGCATTCGGAATAAAGGAAATAAGCGTGAGGTGGGGGATGGTTCTAAGGGACTGAAAGTGAAAAAGAAAAATAAAGATTTTAAATTCCCACCGGCAATTCTTACAGATTGGTTACAGAATGCAACGCTTAGCACATGGACCGCATATCGCTGCATGGAGAGGGCTCATCCTCCTTACGTGAAAACAATAGGGAGAAGGAAACTCACCTGTAGTGGGACCGTTGGAAATAGTAGCGGCAGATGTTATTTTCCCAAATGGCGAGAACGCTAACCCGAATTTACCCCAGTAAGGGTGCTCTTGAATATTTTGTTTAATGGTTAATATTTTTTTGGAATTGTCAGGGCGCTGGTAGCCCAAATTTTAGACGTTACTTTCGGGAACATTGTCGGGAAAGTAAACCTGGAATTGTTGCGCTACTAGAGACTCAGATTAGTGGTAATGCTGCTGAGAAAGTCATCCGGAAATTCGGTTTTCAGAACTCTTTTAGAGTCGAAGCTTTGGGATTTAGTGGTGGAATTTGGCTACTTTGGAAAGATGGATTAAATGTCGAAGTTTTTACTATTTCAACTCAATTTATTCATAGCAGATGTTGGTCTGATGTTGTAAATAGATGGCTATTTTACTGTAGTTTATGCGAGCCCTCAAGTGGAGAAACGAAAGCTAGTATGAAAGCATCTTATGAATCTTGATCCAGGTGACAATGAAGCTTGGGCATTGGGTGTTTATTTCAATTCCATTCTTCGTCTCGAGGAAAGGGAGGGAGGAGCAAGTCATGGTTCAGGAGTTAGTAACTTGTTTGCGGAGTTTGTTTTTGAGATGGGGTTATTCGAAGTGAATTATCGGGGACCAAAGTTCACGTGGAGAAGAGGTAATCTTTGTAAACGATTAGATCGCTGCCTTATGAACATTTGTTGGGCGGATGTTTTCTCGGGCACTTTGGTCTTACATCTAGACAGGGTGGGTTCGGATCATTGCCCTCTTCTAAAGCTCAGAGTAACACGAGAGTTCAGGGGACTCGACCTTTTCGTTTATTGTTGCATGGCAGGACCACCCTCAATTTAAGAATTTCTTGTCCGAAGCTTGGAATAATGATTTGGATGGCCTTTTGACAAGGAACTCAATCGAACTCTTTTGGTACTTATCCCAAAAATTAAAGTACCAGAGTCGTTTAACCATTTTCGACCCATTAGTTTGTGCTCAGTTTTATATAAGCTGATCACAAAGATCATTGTGAATCGGCTGAAACCTTTAATGAGTCTCTGGATCTCGAAAACTCAAACAAGCTTTGTCCCTGACAGGTCGATCACTGATATATCGTTGCGCAAGAGGTAGTCCACTCTATGAGATTGAAGAAAGGAAAGACTGGTTATATGGCTATCAAGATTGATCTTGAGAAAGCGTATGATCGACTTGAATGGCCTTTCATCGATGACACATTAAAAGAGCTTCACATCCCGGACAATCTTAGGATGCTTATCATGCGTTGTGTGTCTTCAGTCTCGACTCAAGTGCTTTGGAACGGTGCTATGTCTGCATCGTTCAACCCATCAAGAGGGCTTCGCCAATGTGATCCTTTATCACCTTATTTGTTTGTTATGTGCATGGAGAGGTTAGCATATGCGATAGCTGGTGCGGTGACTAATGGAATGTGAAAGCCTATTCGCTTGTGTCGTAATGGGCCTGCTCTCCCATCTATTCTTCGCCGATGACTTGGTTCTTTTTGCAGAGGCTTCTATCGAGCAATGTAATGTTTTACGGGGAATATTGGAGCTATTCTGTAATTTTTCGGGACAAAAGATCAATATCCAGAAAACTACTATTTATTACTCAATGAATGTGGATTCGAGCTTGAAAAATTCTATCAGTGCATCTTTTGGCTTCCAAGAGGTTCAAAATTTGGGTAAGTATCTTGGAGTTCCTCTTTTACATTCTCGGATTACGAAATCTTCGTACAATTATATGTTTCGAGAGTTCGTGATAAGGTCTCAGGGTGGACGGTTAAAACTTTGTCATTGGCTGGAAGAATCACCTTGGCAAAAACAGTGCTATCGGTTATTCCTTGTTACTCAATGCAATCAACGAAGCTTCCGAAAGGGACATGTGACGAGATAGAAAGGCTAATTCGAGGTTTTATTTGGGGACATACTGAGACTAGAAGTGGAGTACATCTCGTTCATTGGGAGAACATTTGCAAACCAACTGTTAAGGGTGGCCTGGGTATGAAGAAATTGAACGTACAAAATGAGGCTTTTCTCATGAAACTAGCTTACAAATTGGCGGTTAATTCCGATCAGTTGTGGGCTAGAGTACTACGCACAAAATATAAGTGGGTGGAATTGATACCCAGTCCATTAATCGCACGAGAAGTTCGCATGTTTGGAAGGGTATATCTCAAGTATGGAACGAGGTGAGACAATACTTTGTTTGGAATATTAGTAATGGGTGTACTGTTGACTTTTGGAGGGGGGATTGGCTTAGTGACATGGGACCTTTGGAGAGTTGTATTGTCAATCCAGCAGAAAGAAACAATCTCCCAAGGATATCAGTTTCTTCTATGATCGATACTAATGGTCAGTGGCGTTGGGATTTCATCATTGACAAACTGCCAAACAGCATCATTCATCGTCTGGCAGCAACAATGCCCCCACGGCAAAACTGTCGAACTGATACTCTGGGTTGGAAATGGAATGTTGACCGGCAATTCTCGGTTAAATCAGCTTACGAGTTGAGGCGGGGAATTTTGAATGATGATTCGCATAAAGTGTGGGAGGTGATATCAAAGTATCGAGGATTGCAGCGAATTAAAATCTTTTTATGGTTACTAGCGAATTATCGACTACTTACTAATGCAGAGCGAGTCAGACGACATATGGCCACATTTAACAGCTGTGGAATCTGCGGACAGTCAGGCGAAACATCATATCATCTCTTTCGTCAGTGTCATATGGCTATGGCTATTTGGTCATCATTAATTAAAACGGAGAAGTTAGCGGATTTTTTCACAAGGGATTTCATAGATTGGATGCAAATTAACATCGCTTCTCCGGGGTTTATGCACGTGAAGAAAGTGATTGGGACTTATTGTTTGGTTCGATTCTTTGGTTGATCTGGAAGAACCAGAATAGAAGATTGTTTGATCCAGATTATTTTGAGCATGAGTCTGTACTAGAAAAGAGTAGGCGCCTCACTCTTGAAGCTACCTGTGCATTGGATTCAGCTTTGTCAAAGTTCCAGCCTTCTCATCGTTCCTCTACTATGTCCGATATTTGGCATCCGCCTCCTCATAATTGGTGTAAGGTTAATACAGATGGGTCTCGTAACGTAGAAAATGGATTAGCGTCATGTGGAGGCGTCATTCGATCCTCGAATGGTGGTTGGATGTTTGGATTTCTAAAGTGATCGGAGTTTGTTCCATAGTTGAAGCGGAGTTATGGGGTATCCATGAAGGTCTCTCCATGCTTGGAACCTAGGAGAAAGGCAAATCATAGTGGAAGCAGATCGTTTTGAGGTTGTCCGAATGCTAAAGGTAAACTCTAAGAGAGGCTCGATTTTTACACTTCTTGACCGCGTTTTTGAGTTGATTAACTGATTGGAATATTATTTTGAGGCATATAAGCCGGACTACAATAAGGTGGCAGATCGACTAGCTAAGATTGCCATAACAAGAGGAGAGGTTCATAAGGTATTCTCCGTTCCACTGCGGGAAGTGGTTGAATTAGTTCAACAGGAAGCTGCCGACTGCATTTTGACAGCAGAAGCTTAATCTACTGCAGTTTATTTCTTTTGTTCACAAAAAAAAAATAAACGAACGAACACGAACAAATGTGTGTTCAGTTCGTTTATTTTCACGAACAAACTCGTTTATGTTCACGAACAAACTCGTTTATGAGCTCATTTATCGACTAGTATTTTTGTTCATGAACATGCTTGTTACTATGTTCTCTTCTTTTTTTTTTACATTTTAAATATTTGTGAAGATAGAGACTAAATTTAACACATGATAAAAGTTAAAATTTAAATTGTAAATTTTAAGGAGTTTAAGCACCAGTGGTGTAACTTTGTCATTTTTCTTTAGCTTACAAATGAAAGTGTAAATGACAACATACTAAAGGAACACTAAATGAATGATAAATGAATAAACTCTAAATGAACCCTAAAGAAACATATTAGTGAACATATAAATGAACATGTTCGCAAACATTAAACGAGCATGTTCTTGAACAATAAACAAACAAACAGAAACACCTTCAAAAATAAATAAACGAATATGATATTAAAATTTAAATGAACACGAAGTGAACAAAAATATCTTAAAAATAAACAAACAAACACGTACATAACCTTGTTCATTCAAGCTCGGTTCATTTACGCCTCTAACTCTCACATAACCTTCAAGGCAGGAACACATCTCTTTAGAGCTCCTAGTTTCTTTGAAACTAGTTTAAAGATCAGGAAATGGGAAGGCTCCATTGCAAATCAAGTAAAATCAAAACAATGCTTAGTTTGGAATCTAAGGCAATCATTTTTAATAGTTTGAGTGATTATAAAGTTAATATCTATTTTTTTGTGTAAATGATATTCAATATATGAAGTTGCAATCTGGAAATTTTC